TGCAAAAATTGAAATTATCTTGGGCCTTTCTCTAAGAGTCTGGAGTCTGTCCTGGCTCTGCTTTCACCCCGAGGGCTTTGCTTCCCTTTCAAAGGCTTTTCTGTCAGCTCTGCTGTTTGGGGTGGAAGTAGGCAGTGACTATTCCCCCTCCCTCAGTTTATTTTATCCTGCTGCAAGCAGACTCTGAGGAGGGACAGGAGTCTCTGGCCTTCTCTGGGACCTGCACCGTGTAACAAAGCTTTGTCCCCGTGGAAACTGCACCTTCTTAGGGCTTGTGGGACCCCCACGTGCCCCTGCTGCCCCACAAACAGCCCTGTCATCCCTGTGGGCACAGCTCACCCGCTGTGCTGGCTCTGGTCAGAGCATTTCCCCTGGTGCTGGGCTGCAGAGGGAGCAGACTGATGAAAGGGTTTTGCTGGGCTGAGCAGATCCTCTCTGTCCACAGGGCAAGTTCACCACAGCCAGCGACGTGTGGGCGTTCGGGGTGACCCTGTGGGAGATGTTTGTGCTGTGCAAGGAACAGCCCTACAGCCTCCTCACGGACGAGCAGGTCATCGAGAACACGGGCGAGTTCTTCCGCAGCCAGGGCAGGCAGGTGAGGAACAAACAGGCTCTTCCCTTCCTTCTCTCAGCACTCCCATCCTGCTGGATTTCCTCCCTGCTGCCCTCTCCTCCTCTGCAGCAGTCTCTGCTTCTGCTCACCTGTGTCCCCTCCTCACCTGTGTCCTCTCTCCTCTCTCCTCACCTGTGTCCTCTCCTCTCCCTGTCCTGCTTATTTCCTCTTCTAAACCACTTTACTCTTCCCTGTCTTCAGCTCTTCCAGGTTCTCCCCCACAGTCCCGTTGCTCCTTTCCTCTGTCAGCACTCTCCCACCAGCATTGCCTCTGGAGGATGTGGAAGCAGGAGGGATTTGTGGTGGGAAGGAGCAGTTGTTAGTTCCCAGGGATTACATTCTCCCTTTGGCCAAGAAGCCTTTGGCCATCTCCAGCTGCTGAAGGGCTTTTGTGTCATTTTGTCCCCACTGCTGCTGCCCTCAGTAGATACCAGTGCATCTCCTCAGTACCCAAAGCTGTGGGGAACAGTTCTCCCCAAAATTCACCTTTAGCTCTAGAGAATTAAGGGAAAGAAAATGATACGGGGTTTACTCACCATCTCCCAGATATTAATGATTAGCCAAGAGCCTAAAAAATGACAGGGAGAAATAAAATAATTCTGCCAAGCTGTGCTGTAGATAAGCTCTAAAAGGTGTTTTTTCTGTCTCTGCTAACAAGCTGTCACGATGCTTAGAAAGCCTCATGGGCTGTCTACGGTGAGTTGAAAGTACTTGGATTTTATTGTGGTAAATTTGGTTTTGGTTTGTGTTTTGCTGTCTCTCAGAGGACAAATCCCTCAGAAGCATTCATGTTTTCTGGGGGACAAAGGCCTGTTTTGTGACCAGCTCATCAGACAAGTTGGCAAAGTGTCCGTGGTGCTGTTTGAGAGGCTCTGTCCAGTCTCCACTGGAGCTGGAGGGATTCCAAACACTGCATGGTGGCTGTGTCTTGTAAACCTGGAATGAAACTGTCTTTTGGTGTTACTTGAGTAAAGGTTCAGTTCTTCAGTGAGAAGCCCACTGAAACACTGTGCCTCTCTTCCTTTCAGATCTATCTGTCCCAGACTCCTCTGTGTCCTAACCCTGTGTTCGACCTGATGCTGAAATGCTGGAGCAGGGATATCAAAGATCGTCCCACTTTTGACATGATCCACCAGTTCCTGCTAGAACAAATGGAAGCAAACATTTGACTCCAGGAAAGAGGCAAACTGTGGAGAACAGAGTGACTTTGGGGTCTCTTTGCCTGTCCCTCACAGTCAGGCTCCCCTCCCTATTTCAGTTGGGACGTCCATGGCAGCTGCTCATTCTCTTGGCCATGGTCTGACACACAGGACCAGAGGATCTCATTTGGTTGAAAAATCATCTCCTCTTCTGAATCATTTCCTGGGAATACTGTGAGAGGGGTGTTATTGGATACCCACACACCTTTGGGCAGATGTAATGAGTAAAACTTGGAGGGACTTGGAGCTCTCTCCTGGCTGGAAGAGAAGGCGCCGGGCGGTGAGAGCGCTGCCACTCGAGAGCAGGTTTCTGGAAGGAAAGGCTGCAGCCTTCCAGAGCTCTTCCATGGAATCTGATGGAAGTCTTGTGCACATGAGCAAGTGTTTCTGTGTGCTCTTGCTTCAGACAATGGTGAGAGGCCAGAAACATCTGGAGCTGGGAAATGGTTTAATGGACTTGGGAACTGACGGAGCATTTAGGAACCCGTTGGGAGTGACACTGCCAGGGTCCACAAAAGATGCTGAAACAAGAGTCCAAAATGATGTTCTGTTTTCCTGTGGTTGTTAAGCACTGCTTTGGTTATATATGTGCGTTTTCCCCACACTGGATTTTTTTTTGTTGTTGTTTTCTAGAAAAAAATGATTTTAAAATGAATGTTAAAGGTTATTGGGAGGTTACTGTGTTAGAAGGTCTTCCTCTGACCTACAAATTAAGGTTAGGGTAGGGAGTTTGTATTGAGAAGTAGCTGATACTGTACTACTGTCACTATGTAGAGTTATTAACCTAATGAACTTGTAGCCACAATGGACTGATGTGCAATTAATCCTGTATAATTACCCATCAATATGAGATCTCTAAATCAATGCTGTTACGTGTGAGAGGGAACTTAGATTTGGTGGAACTGGATGGCTGAGAGCAGAACCCTCTTTGTCACTTGTCACAGCCCCAGGAGAGGGCCAGGAGCAGCACACAGGTCACAGGTGTGTGTCTGGAGCAGAGGTTCCTCTCCAGGAGTGCAGCAGGTTGGTGCCACGGGCAGCTCAGGCCAGGCTCTGTCACTGCCCTGTCACAGCCCAGCCGTGCCAGCCCAGCCCCTGCTGTGGCCTGTCCTTCATCTTGGTTACTCATCGAACTTGGGGCTGCTTTTTGTGTGTCCTGTCACAAACAGCTCATTCTCTGGAGGGTTTTAGAGGGCTCTGAAATCCATTTGGAGCCAGTTAGAGAATTTAGTGTTTCTACAATAAATCCATTGTGGATTTACCAGGTGCCTGGGGAATACTCTGCTATTCCCTCTCCAATCATTTAGCAAGATACTTAGGACCAAACCCAATATTTCATAAGCTGGGACAAGATGAAAGCTCAGCACTTGGAGTGTTTTGTTTTTTTTTTTTTAAGTAGAATCCAGCATAAAATGTATTTCCAGTAAAGATTATAAAGATAATTTTCATCTTAGCCACAAGCATAGATGACAGGCAGGCTGGCTGTGAGAGGGGAATGTCTGAGTGGTTGCAACACAGGCATAATTGTGTTAAAAGAAAAACCCAGCTTCTGAATGGGCAGATGCCAGGCTGGAGTGTGGCATGGCTGTGTCTGCTTCCTTGGGAAGGCTCCAGCCATGCCTGGCCTGTCCTGCTTGGGGCTGAGGAGCCAGAGGGCCCAAGTGCTCTCATCTCCCCGCAGGGATTCCTGGAATCTCACCCCCATAAGGTTTTCTTTTTTCCCTCTGTGACAGGAGGGGTGGGGTGAGCTGCCCTTCCCTGCTGGAGTCAGAGCCAGCAGGTCCCTAGTGCAGCCTGCTGGGTGCTGCTGTCTGGCAAACCACTCAGACAGGGAATTTCTGGGCATTCCTGCCCCAGGAAATGTCCCCAGTGCCCCCAGCCGTGTGTGTGATCTCCTGTGCTCTGGGAGCTCCCAGGGCAGGGAGGGTCCCTGGATGGGCTCTGTGCTTCTCTGACATCCGGGCATGCTGTTCCTCCATTGACATGGTGACATACAAAGTTTGTCTCATATCAATAAATTCTAATGATAACCTTGACAAAAGTGAATTTCTACTTCTTTTTATGTACCCAGGTGTCTGCCCTGAGAACTGACACTTTGGTGTGGTTGTCCAGCAGCTCTTTGGGGGAGTGTGTGACCCCTGGTTTGGAGGGAGCAGCCACAGACCATTAAATGAAGAGTTTTGAAGGGAGTTTGTGGAAATGCTGGAAAGGTGCTGACCCAAATCCCCTTGTGCTGGTGGGTCCTTGATGGGCCTGGGGCTGCTGGTTGATGCTGCATTTCAAGAAGCAGCTTCTTCATCTCAGTGTTAAAATCAGATGCTTTAGACTGGGAGGAGCCTTTACAGGCTTATCAACCTGCCCACGTAAAGCTGAGCTGATTTCAAAGTTCTTTGGTGTGCTGTGAGCTTTGAAAATTTCCAGGGCTGGAAATGCCATCCCTGACCCAGTCCCAGGGCTGTTCTGTGCCCATGAAGAACTTTTTGCTTGTGCCTTTCCCTTGCATCCTGTGCCTGTTGCCTTTTGGTCATTCCCTGTGCCCCTCTGAGCTGAGCCATCGTGCCCCTGGCAGAGCCACCCACCTGCAGCCCCTGGTCAGAGCTCAGGTATTTGGGCAACCTCAAATACATTTTAGGCTGAAAATACCAGATCCCTCAGTTTAGGCAGCAAGAGCAGGAGTCAAAGCAGCATTTTCATCTTCTCAGACATAAGTTTGAGGGAAATCAGGCACCCTAACAGGTAAGAACAACCCCCAAATATTCAACAGGTGGCCCAGAGAATCTGTGGATGCCCCACCCCTGGAAGTGTCCCCAAGGCCAGGTTGGATGGGGCTTGGAGCAATCTGGGATAGTGGAACAAGATGATCTTTAAGGTCCCTTCCAACCCAAACCAGTCTGGGATTCTGGGATATTTACTCAATTCCATACAGGAGTTAGATATTCATTGATTTCTTACTGCCTTAAGTGACTGCAAATGTTCTTGAAAAAGGAAAGGTCTGGCCAGAAAGAGAAGCTGCTGCTGCTCCATCAGCAATCCAGTCAGTGCTGCAGGAGTTGTGAAACATCCACAACATCCCAGTGAGATTTATAGGTTGAAGGCCCTGGGCCAGGCTCAGCCAGTGAACTACTGCAAACTTTACACCTCCCAAGCTGGATTTTAATCTTCCCTCCCCCTGTGCCAGGTGCCCTCACCTTCCTCATGATCTTCCTCCCGTAGAACATCACTTTGTCCCTCTTGCGAAACCTGTACTGAGGCACGTGTGGCTGAAGTTGTTCTGGAACAGAAGCAGCACATCAGAAACCACCTTCAGCAGCTGGGAGAGCGCCTGAGCACAGCTTGGGGGCTTTGCTGCCTCCAGAGCAGCTCCTGTGGGCAGTGTTTGGGATCTGAACCCCCCTGGGATCCCTCATTCCCCAGCTCTGGCCAAGCCAGACCCAGGCAGGGCTGCCTTGAGGCTCCACCTCAGCCCCGAGGAGATAAAGGGCTCTACACAGAGAGAAGAGTTGGGCAGCTTTAATCTCCTGAAGGAAACCTCTAATTCAATCATTTCTCCTTCCTGTGACAGTGAAATCCTGTGACAGTAGGGCTGAACTCCTTTGCATAATTCACCACTGATGCTGAGGCTGACACTGCTCACAGCCAAAGAAATAAAACCTCCAGGTCCTGCACGTGGCAGCTCTGGGCTCACACCTGGGCAAGGGAACCACCACAAGGTCTCCATCCTTTAAAGCTGCTGTCCTGCAAGAAGCACACCTCTACAGCTAACAACTACCCGAGAAAACTACAAAAAAACCTCAAGATCAATGGAAAAATTGGTTTTAAAACTTACACGGTAAGTACCTGATAATTAGATAGTCTCATCCCATACATGACAGAAAGAACAACTACTTCAAGTAGTAGTGTGGCTGCAGCTCCAATTGCAATTCCAGTCAGCTGGGAGGGGAATTTAGGGAGAAAGAAGTTAATAATTTTCAACTTCAGAAGTTACTACATATTTTTTGAAGGGCTGAAGAACTCTCATCTCAGTGAGATGTCTAAAAGCCAAGCACATTCATAAATTTTTAATTCAAACATCTTATATGCAAGTAGTTTAAACTGCACCAGTGACCAGTCCTAAGATCACATTGAAAATATTCCATATTTTTCTTCCCAAAGATCCGGGAGCTGACCAGCTCAATGTACAGGAGGTGTATGGGCACATGGAGGGACAGGACAAGGGGGAATGGCCTCAGGATGAAGGAGGGCAGGGTTAGACGGGATATTGGGAATTAGGAATTGTTCCCTGGGAGGGTGGGCAGGCCCTGGATCCCTGGCAGTGCCCAAGGCCAGGCTGGACAGGGCTGGGAGCAGCCTGGGACAGTGGGAGGTGTCCCTGCCATGACAGGGGGGGTGGAACAAGGTGATTTTTATGGTCCCTTCCAGCCCAACCCATGCCTGGGCTGGGCTTCAGCTGGGCAGGGAGAAAACCCAGCAAGGCACCGTGGCCATGGGATGTTGGGAATGGGAACAACCTTTATCCTGCAGGAATCAGCATTGAAGGAGGATCTGAGTCCTCAAACAGCCAGGGCAGCCCAGGGAGCCCTGAGCCTGTGCCTCGATGTCCCTGGTGGTCTGGGTGGGATGTGAATGTGGGCACACGTGGGTTTGTGCTCCCACTCCCAGGGAGCACCTGGCACTGCTGTGTCCAGGGCTGGGAGCCCTCAGGAGCCCTGAGAAACGCTGTAAAATTCCTGTGCTCCTCCAAAACTTCCCGGTGGGGAAGGAAAGGGCTGTGCCCAGGAGGAGCCGAGGGGGTTTGTGCTGCAGGTGGAACCTGCTGGGGGCTGACATCACAGAGGCTCCCCTGGTGATTGCACTGAGCTGTGTCTCCTCCCCCCCTCCCCACCATGAGCTGTAACACCATCATGGAAGTCTCCAAGGGAAACAACATCTTCCCTCCAAACCCCTACTACATCCCTGGGTGAGTTCATCCAAAACATCCATTTCCAATGCACATGGCTCTGGTTGGGGTCAGGGACTATTTGTAACTCAGGATGTTTTGGGGTTTTTTAAAGACAATATTCAATATTTCACGTAACCTTGCTCTGAAGGAGACAGAGCTCCAGGGGAAACAGCACCTCACAGAAGGGGAGAGCCACAGACCATGCCTGGCACATGGAGAGCAAAGCCAAAATGGGCTTTTTTCCCCCTTTTTCTCCATTTCTTTTAAGCTGCCAAATGTTAGCAGAGCTACTGTGCAAGGTTTGGCTTCCAAACTGTCTTAATATTTGCAGCAAGGATTTTTGGAAGTCCCCTTTGACTAAAGGGTTGTGCAGATGTGACACCCTCTGGTCACTGGGCTGGAGCCCTGTCCTGCTGCTGGGTCAGAGACTGGGAAGATTGGTGATCTACTCCATAAGTAGTTGGATTTCTTCCCAAAACTCTTTTTGACGCTCTCCTCTAAAGGATTGGAAGGAAGAAACCCTGGATGTGAGGCAGTGAGTTACAGGGGAGAAGGTAAGAGATGAGTGGGAGGAATTTGGGATTTGCTGTGAATTAAGACTTTGTGTGTGGGGTCCTGTGGTGAGACCTGGTCTGGGATGTGAAAAGGGGGTGGGAAGGGCCCCCTGGGGAAAAGCAGCTGCTGTGGGTGTGAAATCCCTGGGATTAGCCCAGGCTGAGGTGAACCAGGCTGTGAGCCCTGGCACGGGGAATGCCAGCCAGGCTCCGGGAATGAGGAATGCCAGCCAGGTCCCATGTGCAGGGCAGGGCTGGGGAGGCAGATCCCCGTGGGGAGGCAGATCCCCGTGGGGAGGCAGATTCCAGGCACAGGGACAGGGTGGAGCATTTCCTTAGGGCTGCTCCTGTGGTGATGACCGAATCAGCCCTTCCCCTTAGAGTGACAGGCAGGATTTTCCATTACTGATCTCTGCCTTCCCACTTATATAAGCTCTGAGCCTGGGGCTTTTTACTCATTTTTGCATTGCTGTGACATTCCCTGTGTGCCATCAAAGCTGTGCTGGCAGCAGCTTGGGAAAGACGAAGGACAGCAAGGAGGGAGCTGTGGCTGGAACTGCAGCCCCAAAAGCCTCAACACCTTCCCTTGCTCCCCCCTGCCTGCCTGCAGCTCCCTCAGGAGCAGCTCCAGGATGGACACAACAGCTGGGGCTGCTCCTCTCCAGAGCTGCTGTGACCTCTGGAGGCAGGAGGAGGAGGAGGAGGCAAACCCTGCTGCTGCTTCTGTGGGTGCTGTGCAGGCACCTCTGAGCCCCCATGGGTGCTGGGGGTGAGGAGGAGCTGCCTGAAGAGCAGCAGAGCCCTGCACTGGGGTGTCAGGAGGAGGGTTTGTGTCCAGGATGTCCCCAAGTGTCCCCCTGCCTGTGCCTGCAAACCTACAAACACCACGAGAGCACCAAAGCCGTGTCACTCGGCCTGGCAATGGCCCCAGCAGGAGTTTGAAAAGCCACCAGAGTGCTCAAGGGTACTGGGAAGCCTAAACCCAGTGAGTGGGATGGCTTAGGAGGGTCTGGGCACAGCCTGGCTCTGCAGAGCTGGGAAGGGTTTGGAGACAAGCGAGGATGGGCACAGGGCCAGGGTTTGCTGGTGAGGCTGAGCAGGTTTGGGTGGCAGCCTGGGAGTGCTGATGGAGGAGATAGGGCTGAGCAGGGCCAGGTGAGATGGGCTCAGCCCCTGCTCAGAGCCTGCACCCCCAAACAGGGCTCCCCAAAGGGGGTCCTTCATCAGCAGCCCAGCACAGGGGCACAAACAGCCCTGCTGAGGCTGATCCCTTCCCCTGGTGTTTCCAGCAGCACTTGGGACTCCCTCTGTGGCAGATCCCTCCTTGAGCACCCAGACAGACTCTCTCAGGTGACCTCGGGTTTAATTGCAGGGGAACAGAGCCCTTTCTCAGCCCAGCCATTGTTTTGTCCATGATCAGAATCCCTCCAGCCATGCTGTAATTACTGGGGCTGTGTCATTTGTGCCCCTGCTCGATTTTATTATCCATGTTGCAAGACTGATTGAGAATCCCTGGGGATGAGGCACGGAGCTGCTCCAGGAGGAATCCTGAGTGCAGAGTGGGGAAACCTGCCAAGAGTAAATGCACAGCTCTGCTTGCTGCTGTTCAAACTATTTGGAAGGGAAAGGACTTACTCATCATCTTATGATCCTCATGCATCATCTGGCTTTATCCCCGGATCCACACTGGGCTCATTGATGGAGTATTTCTGTCTGTCCATTGCAACTGGCTGCTCTACCTTTCCTCAGTGCTGGAATCACATCACCATAGGGAAATCTGAGACTGGAACAGCTCGAGTTTCTGGTGGTGACTCGGAGCAGAGCCAGAGCTCCAGCACCTGCCCTGCCCTTGGCCACCAACAAGTCACAGGAACTGTGACTGCCCATCCCAGGAGCTGGGCAGTGGAGAGACCCCAAAAAACCAGAGCAGTGTATATTCCTAGTACTGACCACCTTCCCTGTGCCCTCCCTGTGCCAGGCAGTGCCTGGGTGGGCTCACCAGCCTGGCCCACTCCTCGCTGTGAGAGGAATTATTCTGATTTTTGAGTTTCAATACAGAACAAGAGACACTGGGATTTTCTCAGCTACACTGTGTCAGAGCAGAGAGGCACTGCAAAGTTTAAACTGAGGCACACTGAACTGGAAATGGTATTTTAACTGGAGGATTGTGGATGTTGGTGCTGCCAAAGCCACTGCAGGCCAGGCTGTGCTGGGAGTTTTCCCACCCACGGGTGCTGCTCCCTGGCCTCATCCCGTGTTTCTGCAGAGGCCTGTGCCTGTACATGCCTGTGGATTGATGAGGCAGCTGCCATGCTGCCAGAGGAGAGCAGGCATGTGGAACACAGACACTCCCTCCTGGCTCCTGTGGGACCACAGTGTGGCCTCGGCTCTGCCCCGGTGCTGCTGCTCCACCCGGGCACATCCCACCCATCCCCTTCCCTGGGCACAGACACTCTGCAGCAGATCTGCACTGCCAGAGGGCAGGGATGGATGGGATATTGGGCAGGAATTGTTCCCTGTGAGGGTGGGCAGGCCCTGGCACAGGTGCCCAGAGCAGCTGTGGCTGCCCCTGGATCCCTGGCAGTGCCCAAGGCCAGGCTGGACAGGGCTGGGAGCAGCCTGGGACAGTGGGAGATGTCCCTGCCATGGCACTGGATGGGTTTTAAGGTCCTTTCCAGCCCAAACCAGCCTGGGGTTCCATGATTACCCCACCAGTGGACACCTCCCACTGCCATCTCACTGGTGGCTCCTGTTTGGTTTCCTCCTCAGCTACGGGGGCTACGTTCCTCAGTTCACCTTCAAGTTTGGGGACACCTATGGCAGAACCACCCACGACCTGCTGACAGATCCCAACATCAGGAAGAGCCCTCGCTCCCTGCTGGCACCGCTGGACAATAAGGAAAAGCTCCTTGAGTTCCATTACCACACTGAGCACCCAGGTGAGCAAACAGACCCTGCTAACGAGCACAGTGTTAATTACCAGTAGTGGGGTCTGTGCCCACAGGTCCTTGGTAGGCTGCTGGATGAAATGGGATATTTTCCTTGGAGCAGTCACAGCTCTGTGTAGGAGCTCAGACACCTGGAGAGCAGCAGAGTGAGGTGCTGCAGCTCTTGGCCTCCGCTCACGAGGATGGGGATTCTGGTGTTGTGGAGAGGAGAGTTTCAGTTCCCAGGTTATCTTCAGTTAGATGAAGATAAGTGACTTTATGGCATATCATTAACTCACTCCCCAAATCTTCCAGAATTCCTGTTGGGGTTTAACCCTGGCTGGCAGCCAAACTCCGTACAGCTGCCTGCTCACAAATCCAAACCATTCTATAAAGAGAATTACCTCTACCCCAGTCAAACCCAGCACAATTCCACAGGCTAAAATCCATCTTTCTGGGGAAGGTCTGGTCTCCTCCCTCAGATTCTTTTCTGGCTCACCTGCCTGGTGCACAGCTCCCTCTGTGGCTGTTGTGGATTCTCTGGAGAGTGGAGTGAGTTTCCTCCAGGCTGAACTCAGGGATAACGTGCCCATGTGAGATCTGGGTCTTTATTTCCCTGGGGATGGCCACACCAAAGTGTTGCTTTCTCATTTCTCACTGGGAATTTGTGCCGTGCAACTTCTTGCAAACTTGTGGCCTCTCTGCTCCTCCTGGGCCTGTTTTCCATGAGCCAGGCCTCCACTACACACACAGTGTTTACAGGCTTCGTTCCTGGAGATTTGAATTTGCATTTCCTTGGTCTAAAACACTGCTTAGACAGACCCAACGAACCAGTTGACCGAGTTGCTCTCATTATTTTGGTTCTCTCCTCGTTACCAATGCTGGTGCTGGTGTTTGCTGCTCCTTAGTGAGGTCCTGAAGAACCAGCCCTGGCTGTGCTGCTCAGGTCACCAACAGCTCCTGCTGTCCAGCAGGCCCTGTGCAATCCCTTAAACCTCGCCCAGGTGCTGCCTGGTGTCCTCCTGGGTGTTTCCTGTGATGGTGACAAAGAGCTCATGGCAGTGCTGGGCCTGTGGCTGCCTTCAGCAAACTCAGTCCCAAGATTTTTTCTCAAGGTCTGGCTTTGATAAAGTCTCATTGATGGGTACCAAGTACTTTGATTGTTTCTATCAGCTGAATCCATTTGGTTTTTTTGCTGGAAGTGCAATCAGGCTCTGCTGTTGAGGATCTCTTCCTTCTGGTGACCAGGAACGGCTGGAGCTGGGCCAGGGCAGCTCAGGCTGGAGAGCAGGAAAGGTTCTTCCCCCAGAGGTGCTGGCACTGCCCAGGCTGCCCAGGGAATGGGCACGGCCCCGAGGCTGCCAGAGCTCTAGGAG